CAAAGCATTCGTTGCCCAGCGGCAGTTTTAGTAGCGGTCCTTCATACCGAGGAGCCACATCTGGACACAGTTCACTGAACTCCTATTCATCTGGACCAAAATACAGTTTCGGAGGCTCAAGCTCTCGTTATGGATCGCCGAAAGATAGCCATGGAGCTTACAGCGAAACCTCATACAACACAATTAAGTACAGCGAAGAACTTAAGCCCCGTGTTCACTAATTTCTGAAATGTATTCTTAAGTGGTTTCGTAAAAGCTACTTACCTGATATTCTGTAAATATAGGCTAACTAGATGTGCGAGAGAGTATGCGGGCCACGGTCTAGACGGAAAGATTGAAATAGCGAAAGCGATGCTGTTTTCTTTAGACTTATTAATATGTATCCGTACAGATAAATACTTGGAGTTGTTAATCTTTAAAAAAAAAAATATCAACATTATTTTTTTGCGTGAGAGTGTTATTAGAAGAAAAAGTGGCCCGACCAGTTAATTGTAAATTATGCTTTAAAATAGCATTGCACTGATTACCGATGTATTTGTACCGTTAAAGTCGATGTTGACATTGAATACGCAGTGAATTTCTGTACATATACCGTTGTTAGTAAGGTAGCTTATTTATTATTGTTACTGATTTTAAGTTGTCTTTAAGTTTTTGTTGTTATAAATAAATTTTTAAACAATTATTGAACATCTTTTAATTTTAACCTTACACTTAGATCCCTGAAGGGAATACGAACTATCGAGTTACTTTCAAACGCCTCACTACGCAATCTAAGAAAGTTGCCGCAAACGAAGGAAACGTGATACAGAAACTTAATAAACACGTGACTATCTTTGATTTCACACAAAGGAAAGTTAAGGAAGTTATATTTTCGTTTTAAAAATATACAGCACTGCAAGATATTAATATCATTATTCCAGGCTGTATGATTAGCGTTACACAATCGTTTGGTTCATGTAAACAAAAAAAGTGACTTCACGCTTGACAGATTAAGTAGACCGAATGGGAGTCAACTGCGTTCACTTCCGAATTCTCTGGTGAGATTATATAACCATTTCCTGCTCTTCTACCGGTCATCAAAGTGTTTCTTATCATTAAAATGAGATAATTTGAATAATGATTGATTAATACATAACGTACTTACATATTAATCAATCATTATTTAAATATTAGGATGCTTAAAACAAAATATGTATTATTATTTTTTTTACATAATGAATTATTTTTAAGCTTTAAACTTTTTTATTCTAATTAATATAAACATAAAGGGCAATTACTTTTAAATTGATGAGAATGAGTTCACCATTTCACTGCTTTTAGAAATTCTTGCGAAAATTGGCATGGGCAACCGACTCAATACAAGTGATGCAATTATTTTTAACTAACACTTCAAAGAAAAGAAAACGTCTATAAAAGTGCGAAAACAGTAGGTACTGAATAAAACGTATGAAATAAATATCAAGAAATAAAAATAAAATGAGACGACTACGATTTAGAACTGCCGCCAGACTGTATATTAGAACTTTAATGTTTTATACGCAAATATAGCTTTGGATGTTAATTAATCATATGAAAATGTTATTTTAATATTTGATATAACCAATTTAAATTTTCTTTCTAACTGCAGCTTTGAAATACTTTAATAGGAGACAGACTTAGAAATCGATTGCTAGCAAAGAAATCCAGTTGTACGAGTGACGCGCACTTCCTTGCAGCGACCTCAAAGACTAATTCAATATTTAATTGGTATGAAAGTTTTATAGTTAGTGCTAAGATTAAGTACTTAACCTTTTTTTTGTAAATCAGATGAATTGTAAATTTATGACCTTGTAACGGACTAATTTAATCATAAATTTTACAGGATATGAACCTTTCGACAGCCTTTTATTTATCCAGAACAATAAATATTATGTTAAAATTCTTTTTATTTATTTTGTGATAATTTTGATTGTAAAACACACACCCACAAAAATATTGCCGGCATACCGGTTTTCGCTGTTATGTTTGTGACTACATACAGTATAAAAATATGAATGTAATTCAATTTTGAATAATTGTAGTGAAATGTTTCATTCGAATTGTTTTCTACCACAAAGTCTAATACGAAAGTCTGATAGGATTCTTTGGTTTTTTAAATAAATAACGATTAGTTTTCATATCAGCGCCACCTAGCAGTAATTTTCAACTGGTATGTACTCAAGAAGTAACTTGACAGTTATATAAGTTGCTTGGTATTAGTAACAGATGGCGCTTAAATAGATATTTAAAATTAAATGTCAACAATCGGATATGACTAACGCGTTGATGTCTTTTCTATGATGTACATATATAATATGCTACCGCTGTGATGACAATTTTATATGGACATAGGTTAGATAGTGAAATTGTTTCGTAATTGAATATTTGTCAAGAGAAATGATTATACACCAATCAGATGAGAAATTTTAGCGTATAATGTGTTAGTTGGACAATAACTTTTCACATAATGCGTCTTTATTCGCTTCTTGTTTCTATTAATATACTGTTCTATTTGACTTAAGGTTTCTTTTTTGTACTGAACCAAATTCTACCAAGTCGCCTTTCTCACGCGGTGTTCACTAATTAAGTTAGTATAAACAGTTTCTAAATTAGCGTTTTGCGTCCAAAAAAGCAGCTGTTCAACAACAAAAAATTACAATGCAAAAGTATTTTCAACAATTTTTTACGAACATAGTAACATTCTTTTAAAAATAAATCTTATGTACATTGTCAAATATAATTTGTTTTGTAATATATCTTTTATGTAAATAGCTTTCTTAATCAGTAGCTTACATCAAATGATGATTGATAAGAATCGTAAGTTACCAAACATTTGTAGGAAGCCAAAACCCTTACTTATCTAACTCATCTGCTTTTGATACGCAACAACTAATCAACAAGTAAGTGGTGCCGAATATCGTAACTGGCTTCTTGCGGCAGATACATCATTCATCCGTCATATCAGATTGTTTATTAATTTTAAGGCTAGCATCAGTCATGTTTACGTCTTCAAGTTTTTGGGTCATGAGAATGTTTTTCAGTAGTTTATAAGTAATTTTTTTCAATGATATAATGTTCTTGATGTGTATCGCATACTACCTGTTATTTCTTCTTTTATGCTATGGTCAAGATATAAAAATAGTGTATACTGGTTACTAATAGATTTTTGAAGTATTATTATTTTTATTATGATCAAAATCAAAATTGGCGTTGACTAGATTTCAGAGAAACAAGAGACTGTTTACTATAGATTTCATTTAGTCACAGGTAAATCTTGAACATTTTGAAATTAGAAATATGTGGCGCAATGTAATAGAATTTAGTAAATGTTAAATACATTATAAAACATATTTAAATGAATAAATTAAGATAGATATAATAAACCGACTATATTTTAGTATTTCCACATGTTATTCATATGATAAATGACAGTACAATACGTATATGGATGCGAGTGATATTGAATTTTTGGTTGATCAAGGTTGGTATCTGCATTATTATTATAAAAACTGCACTTTATTGCACAACTTATTTACATAATTTTTTTTTAACACATTATTAATTAAAATCCTTTGGCACGAATGGCGCGCTTTCATTCTAAAGTCAAGTGTCAGAATGATTAGTGAGGGGACATAAACGTCGACATTTTGGTAAGGCTAGTGTTGCGCCAGTACACCGTCACAGGATCAAATCTTCTTAACAATACAAACAAAAGAAATATATATTTTAAGGCCATTAACCACTACCATTAACTTATAATATATTGTTTAAAACTTACAGAAAGTAATATATAAGAAAAATCTTGGTTGAGACGCTGAAGATTATTCAAAATTTTTACTTTAGTTAATAATGAAATCTCATTCTCTTCATTGATTATAAGTAACATGACATCAATTAACAAGATTCAATTTATTTCACGAATGCTTACACAACACGCCAAACGCTCGTATATGGGTGTTGCTACACAAACATCTATTTTTTACATCATTATCCTTCACTAAGCAAGCCTTTATATGGCTCATTTACGCTTTGGAAGGCAGCTATTTAGGTTTATGAATAAGGATTCGTAGTAAAGATAATAAATGGAATTAGGGCGTTGTCTGCTCATTTGTACTCTACTCTACATTAGTAATTTAAGATGACTGTCTTTTTTAATTCTAGAGGAATTTTAAGCTGTCATCAGTCTTTGTCTGCCCGCTGATGGTCCTTTCTCATCTCTTTTACGGTATGCGGTCCTCCGCATCATAGGACTTTTTAACATTATAGAGAGCAGTTAGTAAGAATGGGCGCTTTTATGAATGTAATGGTAATATTAGTGAAAACACTTAAAGGTTATTATTTAATCACTTTTTACACTTTTCTAACAGAAAATGAATTTGTAAGTTCTAATCTCTTTGCTAAGAAATTCTCAACGTGGTCTCGGAAACGGACACGGGGCAATCGATGAACGCAATGCGTTTCCGCGACCGACCGGGAAGTCGACTCTCTCGAACTGGATTTGTTACGATACAGGACAAAGACCTATCGGTCATTTCCTTTCTTTAAACATAAAGAAACGGACTAGGCAAAGACCTGTAGTTGTATTGAATAAATTCTGTTACTTTCCGCGGCAGGTAACGTTAATGTGAAAACTTGCATCTGAATATCAAACTGATAATTACGTCTTTATAAATGGATATTGACTCAAAAAATGAGCATACAAACAACGAAATATAGAACTTATTGCTGTCTTTTTTAGACAGAGGTGGACAAATGCGCTTGACAGGTCCTGCCATTTAAAAGTCAAAGTTTCCTTAGTTGTCGCGGTCTGGACTAAGTACAAGAGGAAAGTTGTCCGCGAACGTTCATATAAATGCGTGAACTTGATAATTCTGAACACTTTTCATTGCGGCATTGAGTTGACAACTTTTCTATTTGTTATACGCCATTTTCCTGAAGAAAAATTATGTCATTTTAGTTTAGTAATCGAGAAGAATTTTTAATCTAAAATGGATTTAAAACAGCTTTTGGTAAGTATTTCTTTACTAATGATAAATAGAAAATAAGCAATTATATTGCCAGAAATTGGATTATTGTGACAAAGTATTGAACAAACATAGCCTTTACACTTTTAAATTCTGCCAACGAATTTTCCTTCTTTATATAGCTTAGTTTTAGAGATGTCTATATAATTTGCCGAGATATAGAATCTATAAATCAAAGAGAATATTTGAACATAACACACAATAATGTAATAAACTTAAATTGTGGATTTTGGGGCTACCTTTTTATATTAATAAATACATGTTAATTATAACGATTAAAAACATTTTACAGATCGTCGTTGCTTTTGCTACATTGGTGTGTAGTATTGAAACTGACGACATTGAACATAAAAAGAGAGGCGCTGGGAAATCGACTGGAGTGAACACTATCCCCACTGGTATACAGAAGCCAGATTATACTTATACCATTTATACTCAAAACCCTAATACACAGAGCAGTCACAGTACATCAAGTCAAAGTTACCAAACTCAAATCCCTAACTCTTTCTATCCTAACCAAGCCAATAGTCAGTATTATTCTTCCGTTTCCTCCAACGAAGGGACTCATTCAAATCCACCTCAAACAAATGCACAACACCAAGGTTCAGCACAATTTGTACCTCTCAACTTCATTCCAAATCCAGGTTACCAAGCTAAATATCAAATTGTACCTGCTAAGTCAGCTAACGGTATTCAACTAGCCCTTGTCCAATCGTCTTCTGGATATTCGCCACAGAATTTACATGTGTCCCAGCCAGCAGTTTATCCACAACCTACAAACCAAGTAAATTCACACAACAATCAATTAGTAAATTCAGTTTTCCCGCACGGACATTTCAATTTTCCCAATTATCAACCATTGATAGGTTCGCCTTATTTGTCTCAAACGCCTACAATTCTTGTTCCGCAAATAAATCATCCGTTTTATAACAACCTCCTTTATTCTAGTCCAGGTCAAAACATTTATTATCCAACGAATGTCCAACCTAAATACAGTTATACACAAAATTCCCCCTCAAGCAATACAAATGATTATGAAAAGTTGCAAGGACCTATTTCACAAAGTAACTCTAAGGAAAGTAATGATATTTCCGCACAAAACAGCGAAGTGATACATGGTGATTCTATTTCTGGTTATAAAAATGGATATACAGGTCGTAGTCAAACATATACCAAATTGACATAAATAATAATAAATTACTATATTCTGTATGCTTTTGTTCAATATTAATAATGTTTTAATATTAGCTATTGTTATTATTTATAGTTAAACTAATTTTAATCGAGACTAAGTCATATAAGCGTTGCATGTTAATTATTTCTATTAAATTAATAAATGTTACCATTTTATTTGCAATTTTTATTCTACAGGGAAGCTGATTGTAAAACTCCATCAAATTTGTTTCTTCATGTTAAAGAAATCACAAGTTAGTTCGTATATTTACTAGAAAATAATTTCTAATTACGAAATCTTCATTGACAACATATCTATAACATATATTTTATAGTGGGCGTTATGACTCTAATAAAAAAATGAATTGATGTTTAGCATACTCTATGCAAGTTACGAAACCGTCTAGACATGGGATCAAGCACGTGATCATAAAGACATTGATATATCATTTTGTGTGCATTCTTATTAAAATTATCTTTTTTCACAATTAATAAAATATTCCGCAACTCCGTTTTCCTCAAGCTGAATTACTTAAATTGAGTCGATAAATGCAACAACTGCTGGTTCTTTCAATTAATTAATCAATTAATAAATAATAATCGATTCTACGAGTACTTAGAGGTTTTTTTTGTTTCATCATTTTCATTATAATCGACTGGATGGAATTATATATTCTTAAAGCGCTAAAGCTCCTTAGGATGATTTCCACTTTGAACAAATGTGACGGTGTACAGATACTGGATATCTGTATCTGTTTTTTTTATATTGCGTAGTGAAGATATCAATAATTACGTAATAATATGTCGTAATTGATGTCCATATCAACACAAGTGCTGGAATTGCTTTGGTGAAAGGAGCATTTTTAACAAATTGCCACTTTTATTCGTATCACTTTTGAGAAGAGCAATCATACGCACCTTTATATAAATGCGATCACTATACAGGCTGTCCATTTTATCCAACAGTTCACATTAAAAAAAATATACTGACAAGGTCTTCCTGATGATAAAGTATTGAAAATATAAAAATGGATTTCAACAGCTATACATTCGCTGAATGCTTTAACAATAACAAAATTGCTACGGTGGACAACACATATTTTACTTAATAATTATAGTCCTTTTAATTTTGTATTAAATAAAAAGAACTTCAGAAAGGAATGACAGTAACATAATTTAAATTAAAAATGAAACACTCTGTATATATCCGTTTCATTTTTCTACAATCGTTCGACATTCCAAATAAACTGGTTTGCTCTTCGCGAGAGTAAATCCATACAACGATAATATAGATTGCATTCGCGTAATCGCTTATGGCATATTGTGACATATAACTACATTGAAGTTCCCATTTTTCATTGCCCACGGCTAAATTACTTTCGGATTCAAATCAATACATCAATTTTTAATGTTGCAATAAACAAAGCAACTTTCATAAAATAGATATAAAGTTGTGATTGCAAGTAGGCTCGATTTGTAAAATTTGTTTTTATAGTAACCGATCATCATCAGCTCACTATACACATTGAGGGGCTTGGAGCCTACCCTAAGTTAGGGGTGTCTAGGCCACAGTCTACAACGCTGGGCCACTGCGGGTTGGTTGACTTCACACATATCTTTGAATTTTTTTGCAGATATGTGCAGGTTTCATTCCGATGTTTTCCTTCACCGTAAGAACATCGAATAAATATACATATGTAAATCTACATAAGTAACCGAAGGGTATGTAAAATTATGGGTTTTCTTATTTTCATAAAGCTATCAAAAGTTGAAAACAAATCTAATTTTTAAAAATAGTGAATAAATGGAGCAATAAGTGTTATGCTTAGTACAGATATATGAGAAGAATTTAAGTAATCAAGTTATGATTTTTAATGTTATTACTTTACTTATTACATAAAAGTGTATTTATTTATGCAGCGTGTGATAGTTTAGGTCTGTGGAGGGTCGGCCGGGGCGTTTCGCCATTGTTTCGAACGGCCGAGCGTGAACATTGATAAAGGTGTGTTAATTTGAGAGGAATTGAATAACAAATAGAAATTTTCACTTCCGGTTTTGTATACTATTGGTTGCAAATTTTTGAGTCAAGAGTAACAATTCATCACCATTAATAACAGTAATATAAAACACGTCTAGAATTATAGTTCTCAATCATGTTTGGGTGTATAGTATATACTGTTAAAATATTATAGGAATTCTAAAAGCTCTTCTAATCGTACTATCTTACTGATATTATAAATACGAAGTTTGAATGTATATATGAGTTTTTGTTAGTAGGTATCTCCAGAACGGCTCTACAGATTTCGCTGATGTAGAACATAGTCTGGAAGAACATACTTACTAATAACTATTGATTAAGATTGTTTAAATTCCGCAACGACGGAGACACGGGCGACAGCTAGCGATAAAAATAAATTATTATTATAATCTATGAACATTATTTTGATGTATAGCCAATTTCTTATTACCTGTCTATAAAATACAAGGAAGAAATTAACATGTTTCAGACAGTCTTAAAGTGCATTAAAAGGTACCTTAAATTAAATTTAAGGTCCACAGATGCTATACCTGGTTTACAAAATAATTACTTGTATCCGTTTCTGTAAGGAAGACTTATTTATACAATAAATTTCCATAATGAATAATACACTACGTCTAATTAGACTAAGTCGCCTACATTCCGTGATATCTAGGCAGGAGATGAAATTCCAATGACTATTTTCCGAAGTTATTTTTACGATACGACCACAAACGATTGCAGTTCTCCATATAAATTACTGAATGTTTAGACGTTAGACAGTTTTATTTCACTTTAACAAGCTTTGACGATATTAAAAACACATTTGTTACTTTAAAGAAATTTTAAGTTAGATGCATTATAAAAATCTATACACACGCATCGATTATTTATTCATGGGAATTTTGTCAATGTCACTTGAGATAGTATTAGAATGATCGATGGAACTGACATGAAAGTAGAAAGAAGGAACCCACTGCTATAATTAATTCTATTTATAGTTACAGCATTAACATATTACGCTAAGATAACTTGATTAAATCACTTTTACTGAAGACGATCGTCCATGGCATGTAACTCGCTGCAGGCTAGAGGCATCGTACGTGAGCCCTCGAGGTTTCGGCTCTCTCGAATTAGATAGACAGTAAGTATCGTCTACCGTCCTCTGCCAATCACTTCATAGACATGCCGTAATCATTCACGCCATGGGTAAAAGAAAGATAAATTATTGTAATTTTATAAATGGACCTTAAACATTCATGTAAAAAAAATTGCTTATAAAATGTGAAATAGTGAATTTCATCGTCCATACAATTGGTTATAAATGCTTAAAAACAGGCGCTAGTGCTAATATTAGCGCTAGTGTTATAAGAAAGGCCTATTTTGAAATCAAGCAGAGTGAGAAATATCCTGTGACTTTTAGTTTTGTGTAGCGTAATTAGCATCAATATCTCAACAAAAATTCAGTTTTTAACAATCGGTCTACTTTCTTGTGCTACTGAAAACTATACTTTATCGTTAATGCGTCTAATATATTGGTAAAATATAGTTGAACAACGATCATACGTAAGTGTTGGAAGATCTTTATATTTTTGGTATTTACATATATGGCTCTTTGATAAATTAGATTTGATAAAAGTGATTTATATTCATTTCTTATATGTAAAGTTGATATGATTTGAAATTTGCACCTATGGTTTTTGGTTTCGTAAGTCGCCTACACCATTGCGTGCGAAGTCCACGGGAAAGCGCTGTTTGTGTTGGCCGTAATTATACACCACGTAGACCTAATAATGTCGTTATAAAATATTCTAATAATTTGTAACATACCAAGGTTATGTAATAAAAAAGGCAAGCGTGTATTCAAAATCTTTTCGAAAAATTGGTTTTTAAAAATACGTAATGCAAAATACAACATCAAAATAATGTGATTATTTTTATTTCGGGTGAAATTGTTCTAAATTAGCGTTACATAAATTATTCACATAAGAAATTCAATTATAATAATTTCTGATATTGTTTTTAAATAGTATAGTAGCGGTTTAAATTGACTATTTAAATTATTGAATCATTTGCATAATTTGTTTTGAGATTTGAATACGATTCAAAATTATCACTTGATATTTATTAAATCATCAAGTTCGAAACAAACTAATGTCATATGGGAGCAAAAGATTCAGGGACGAAAACAACATAAATAATCTGACACTTTGATCCAAGCTACGTTTCGATATTTGCTCTACATGACTTTATTCTTATTCTAGAAAGAAATTAATCGTATTTGAAGGTTTGAACACTTACTACGTATTGCTTAGGCCAATGTCGTTTAATTTAGTTATAGCGCGGATCATATAATGTTAAGTTGTTCTATGGTATTATTTATTAACTACTACTCTCTACGTAGGACATGGTTGGTTTGTTCGCATTGCTTAGAAAGTGAACAAGTGAAATCGATCTGTACAGGACAGGTCCAATGCAATTTCGCTTTGCAATATTCCGGAAAGGGCCTTTGTGATTTCAATATTACACATATCTGAAGTATTATTTATAGGGTGTACCAAACAGGTATTGTCAACCTTTTTATAAAAGAAAATGACTCATGTTTAAGAGATGAATCATGCTGTAACACATATTTTACAAAAAACCCCTTTGCTCTGTAGATCCAAGTCTGTTCTCGGATTTATTGTTTTTGATTTTATTGTAATATTATATCATTAAAGTTTCGAAGACCGCTGCCATAATTGCAATACGTAACTGCAAAACAAAAGAAAGATGTACGGAATCCACTTCGTGAGGTAGAGTCGTTGTTTTTCAACGTGACTTCGAAATGTAACAGAAATAGTTACACGCTTTGATTGTTACGAAATACTTGTAATGCGAAATAAATGAATCCAATTTTAGGCTCTATAGCCTAAACCAAACAGTATTCTTTGTATATACTCTATAGTCTACGAACGATGTATAAATTTTGTTTTGTATTATTATTTGTTTATTTTTTCAATGTTACGACCGAACAATTTGAAATAGTTCGCTAAACCAAATAATGCTATCAGTCTTAAGACTTAAAAACTCGACGGTTTTGAAACATATACAATGATGAATTAGTAATGATAAAATCTGATGTAATATGTAAATTAATAAGATATATGACTTTAAAATAGTAAAATATAACAGGCTAATGGACAAATGACTTACATTAATTTTAATAAGTGTTTTGAAAGACTCTTGTGTCTTAATATTCATTAGGTACTTTTACTTTTATTAATTTTCTATATAAAATTCGCTAGATCTATTCGTGATTGAAACTCTACAATGAACCACATATGTAACTTGTAACATGTAAATCTATGTTTAAAGGATAATGGATGAATGGATGGATAAACTAGTGGATATTGTATAGATGTAAATGTTCTCTTGATCACTTTTACAACTTTAACGATTTAACAAGCGTAATTTAAAAGCATAGGAGTGATACAGGCGACAAATATACAAAAATGTAGGTTGCTAGTCAACTCACCTATTGAATGATTCTGATGTCCTAGTTCTTCTGTCAAGTCTATTTCGGAAGTGTTTCGCGGATTTTCGGACAGACAGAAATAAAAAAAAAATTGGATGTTCCTTACAAGAAACGCAATGCATCATGTTTTTTTATAAAAGAAAAGGGGGCAAACGAGCGGCGGGAACAACTACACCCATGGACGTCTGCAACACCAGAGGTACTGCAGATGCGTTGCCGGTCTTTAAGGAAATGGTATGCTCGCTTCTTGATGGGCTGTTTGTTTGTTCTCAATTTCATTAATTGTATTGATTTAGTTTTTCTAGGACTGGGAATACGTGAGACTTAGAACTAGTAGAGCCGTAATGTAATACATGTTTAGATACAGATTTATAAACCACTTCGTTTTCGCAATTTATGTCAAAAATAAAAATTACGATACTCTGTAATTCTCTTACTTCATTCCATGTGTACAGTAACATTACAAAATAATATTTTACGGCTAATAATGTAAAGTATTTTAGCGCAACAAAGGAGCGACAACAATGAAATACCAAATGAAATGTTTTTCTTCTCATCTTATTTCATGATATCTGGGTCGGTTACTTAGAATGAAATATAAAAAAATATATTTCCTTGTTCTTTTAAATACACTTTTTTTAAGTATTATATTATTTTTTATTTATGTTCAGAAATAGTTAATTTAAGTAACCCAACATCCGAAAACCGATACGTTACATTAACATTCGTTCATTTTATACATTTAACGATTGGGGACAATGTATTATAAATTTTATAAAATGCCATTGTAGTGGCCAGGATTATTAGGAAAGCCTTATTGAAGAGATTAAAAAAACTCTTTTGTCTTGCGTATTTTGTCACTACTAAAACATTCACCATATCTTCAAAATGCATGAATACTATAAAAATAAATAACCAAAATTATTTAGAAATGTAATACGGTATGTAAATACTATGTTTACATTAGTTATAATATATATTTTAAACTATTTAAATAAATACAATGCAAATGATTTTTTAGTTATTTTCGAAATAAGAGAGTAGAAAATTTGTTTACATTTATTTTTAAATGTTATTAGTATATGTTTAGATTTAAATATAAATGTATAGTAATAATATTAATTTCATACAAATGACACATCTAATTTATTTTTAATTATAATTATAATAATATAGTAAGTATATTTTTGTAAACTATAGTCGTATTTCTTTTGTTTATATCAATAAATAAATGATTAAGCAGGTCAAGTATGAGTCAAGATCAATAACATATTGTATGTTTTTTACACATGCGTTTCCACTAACGATATAAATGTAGACAACATATTGTTAACTCTGTTTTTAATAGGGTAGAAGAGGATGATTATATTATGGTTATGAATGATGTAAAATTACCCTACAATGTATGTTTTGTATTTTTATATGAGTTTTATTATTATTTATTATTTTGTTTTTAAAATTACATTCATTAAACAATAGATATAAATATAAAATGGCTGTACGCTGGAGCAGTTCCTTTCAAATGTTTTATTTCTGTCACATTATAAAGATGTTTTATAAAATCTAAGTTGGGAACAGTATTCATAAGACTCTTAGGTGGAAAAAAAGGTAAAATGGTGTAGATATGTGTTTATTAAAATATCAAAAGACAACCGAGTGTATTTTATCAAACGGATATCATTACAACAGTGACTATTACGCAAGATATTAAGTTATTATGTTATTAAGTTACATTTTTAATTACTACGTTAGATTGAGTGTTTCGATTCCCACCGTCATTTAGTAAGTAATCAAGTAGCCTTCGATGGGAACTCGCGTTCTCATTTGTATCAGTATTGTGTACTAATAAGAGGATATTACGATGGATTTGCACTTCTCTAATATGTAGAGTAGTGTTGTATTTAACATCTTGTCCGGCGTTACGCGCGACCACTTACCTACTGGCGTGCCCGCCGAACGCATACGTGCTAGGGAAATTTAAGAAAAAAAATCAAGTTTGTTTAATTTTGTTTTTAAAAATCTTACCAGTTTTTTTTTAATTTTTTAATAAATATTTTTTAATGAAAAATTGTAATTGTACAATTTATGTTTACTTAGTCTCGTTCTAATAATTATTGGTGTAAATGTAGCGTGTAATAGATCAATTATGATGGTCAGTGAGTTGTGTAGTAAGAGTTTTAACAATGGGTTCTTTTAAAATTATAGAGCTTTGACTGCGCATGGTGTGGTCGGTTGCATCGGATGTGAGGACAGTGCATTGGAACCTTTGACTCCTCGGAATGTGGAGGGCAGGCTGCTGAGGTTGCCGTGGAAGACAGTGACTACGACTTGTGACCCTCTCTTTCTTCAGTTACAACACGATGATTCTTTTAAAGGTAAAATTTGATAATATCATTATTCTAGTTAACCTACTCTATATTTAAATTCTAACCGTTGGTTTCTGCGACCTAAATTTCTATATTAAACATACCGTCCCAACAATATGTTTTAAACGGGGATTTTGGTCTCAGAAACCCACGGTAAGTTATTTTAAATTAACTGAATTTAAGGTTATTAAATTGCTTTAGGTCATCGAAATTTTTAAGTTTGTTTCTAGATAAGTTATTATAGAAGATTTGCTCGGTAAGAATAAGCTTAGAAGCTTATTATTAAGTACATATGTATGTATAAGTAAATACCGGTGCTTAAAGTATCGCTTGCTTTGCGCCATTAAAGAAAAGATGGTGATTATAATCATTTTGTTTAAGTGGGTTATAAGAATGTGTGAGTTATTTTTAACCTGTGCGCCTTGTATGATATAACACACTGTAACACTTTTAAGGGAGCTTACGTAATAAGTTGTAAATGTATGTTACAAAATTATATCAGTTCTTTTTCACGTATGGCAGCAAAGAGTTTTTGCATCTCTTGGCGCGAAAATTATTAAAAAAAATTGAAGATTATTGACAAAGTCTTGACTAATCATGTCTGTAACTTAAGCTAAGTACAGTTTGAAGAAAATAATTGGTTACTGGTACCATGTGATGAATTCCAAATTACTATAGTTTCGGAACATTGGTTTGATTGTTAATAGGGACAAAAGTCTTGCTTAATGTGTTGCGATAATTCGTTACGATGCTACAGTTTAAATATTCATTGTATTATTTGACTCATTAACACAAAAATACTGAATTTGCATAATTTCACCGACGGTGCAGCTTTTTTATCGATATCACGTGGGCTCATCATTAAATTAAAAAATATAATAATGTTACTGCCAGTTTAATGTTCACTACGTTACCTAATTTTACAATTTTGTTTTAGACTTAATAAATTTTAGTTGCATTTTCCAAATAAAATAATTAGTCAAAGTAAGACATCAGTCAAATTAACAATATTTGAAAAATAACATGTGTCCACACATGAGAACTATGTAATAGTAAAATTATAAAACCTAAAGATTACAAATTCACTTTAAAAAAAGCAATATCATTATTTTGAATCATTCAACGGTTGAAGCCAAATTAAGAGATATATATTTTAATGTATACAAACAACTATGAGGTCCAGAAGGGGGCGTCATATGGCTAAAGGAAAGGGAAACAACTACAATTTATGTTAAATATTTAAAACACATAAACAAAAAAAAAACATCTTTTGTGCCATCCCTAAGATACCTATTATCCAAGGTTACACTTTGTCACCTGCATTTGATTTCATAGGAATTACATAACATGACATGCTATGAACCATAGAACAAAAGTTACAAAATAAAAATTTCAAACTTATACCATTAGCCTAGATTACAAAATTTGAATGAATTTTGAATTCATTTTAAAATAATCAGTCGGTCGGCCCATAAGACTATCGTTAACATATTTGATAAGAAATTAAAATTTGAGTTCTAATATTGCTTCCTTGTACTACGAAATTTTTGTAGGGCAAAGTATTCTAGGTCAAATGTTGACATAGAGCCAAAGGCTTGTTTGATATAAAAGGTGAATTTAAACACATAAAAACCATGGTGTCAATATGAATTAAACCTATTAAAGAGTTTTCATGATATTTGATATTAACATTTTATAAATTTTGTGGGCCTTTAACGTCTAAACTTCACTACTACTACTAATTTGAACAGGAGTAATTTAGATTAAACAGGACATCCTGTATATTTACTTACTGCAATATAAACTTGCTGTTTCCCGCCACTTCATTAGCATGGTGAATAAATTGTCAAATGCTCCGTTCCCAATTATTTGTATTAAATCACATTTCAAGTAACACTACACTACAAAATGAAAAATATTTTTACAGATTTATTTCTATAGTAATCCATGCAGGCTCTACTAGCTCTAGGTCCTTAAATATTCGGTTATTCCTATTAACAGTGTGGCCAAAAGTAAAAGAGTACAAAAAAATTTACTATACATAAGATTAAACGTTACCGTAAGAGGATACGTTAAAGAAAATTGTTAAGACTATGACAAATGAAAATCGTGATTGTTTTTTTTTAATATATGACTCAAGTCTGGGGCACAGTACATTCACTCACCACGACACATGTTTATCAATTTTAAAAGCGCTATGCCGGTCATAGACTTTTTGAAACGAGGATCACTCAAGAGAAACACTTGGCTAAAGAGGTTTTTAAATATTAAATGTATTTGAAGATGATTAAATTTTCTTTACATTCTCAGTAAGACTAAATCAATGGCCAAATTAAATAATCGGAAGTAAACACAACACAAAGAAAAAAAATGAAAGACACGACCTCTTGAGACATACAACGTAATAATAATATATAGTTCATTAACCTACAGCTATTTTAAAATAGCAATTTTTGATTTTACTGTCTTGAAATATTACACTTTTTAATATTCACCATTTAGACAATCCTTGTATTTTTTGGTTGTTTAAAACAAGTAAAATTTTTGCATTTATATTCAAACAACGTTTCGCAAATCGACATTAGCATCAACGACGCATTACGGTTAAGCCACAAAATTACTATCACATACAAAAACTTTAAAATAGAAACTAAGTGTCACTTTCCAGTCCGAATAATTAGAGGTCTGGTTGTTATTACCTACAGTTTTTTTAAACTAACTGTCACCCGCGATTCCGTCCGCGCGGTGTTAAAAAAAACTTAATTAGTAGCATATGTGTTCTCCATCTATGCCAAATTTCTGCAGGATCCATGTAGCCGTTCTGGAAATACCTTCAAACAAACATCCATGCATCCATCCATCTAAACATTCATATTTTTTAATATTAGTAAGAAGTAAGATAAACGAAATGACAAATAATTCATTAGTTATCATAAACTTTATAAACTTTAATTAGTCATGTTCTGTGTATGACTAAATTATTTTTATAACAGTCATTTATATTGTTTGTATAACCAGCCAGTTTACCATTTTATGATATAATTATTAATATATTATATGACGCTTCTTTTTATTTTAGAAAAAGAAAGATATGTATACAATGTTTACAGCGTTGCGTGAAAATTCCTCTGCTTTTTATAATTTAATTTATTCAAATATCTTTCGTTTAAATTTTCATTCTTGGTTATAATTTTAAGTAATAGCTTAAAATAATCGGAATTACTCGGTAATAGCAGTATGTGATTATTGAAAAAGTTATTTTAAACGCTTGCTAGGTATATGCTAGGGATAGATAGAGAGTAAAAGTAACAAAGCGGCATTCAACATAGGCAACCTGTTTCGTAATAGGCTTTAGTGTTTTTTGCCGTTCACCTGTTTGTGGCATTTATAGCAGGCGCGGCTACATCGGCACGCCTCCTCTCACCATGTTTGGTCGCGCAGAGACACGCGCCGCGGACATCCACCATCATTGGAATTCACCTGTTCGCTTTTACTTTCAGATCGCACCAGTGTTCTTTCTCGTCCTCCTCGTCGGAGCGGAGAAGAAAATTGAACTGCAAGACATCGAGGAAGATAACCTTAAAAGCGAGAAAGAAGCAAATTACGACAACGAATCGTCCGAAGATTCCGATGATGTTGGACGCTTCGAATATTTGAAGAAAGGACTCTTGCGGTACTTCAAAACCCCCAATCCTACGGCAGCGTCTCCCCAGCGCTACGTCCACCAGTACGCCGTAACTGAAACTCAAGAAAGATCTGCCGTTACGCCCGCACCTCTGTATAGCCAGCCAGGGGCGCAGCAAGCCATGGTAGGCTATCTATCTAATGTACCGATGCAAATTTATTTAGTTCCACAGCAATATAGCGGATCACCCGGCACCACAAAGAACTCTCACCACGGGCCACAATATTTGGGACAGAACGTTAACCAAATTGCACATTATTCAACTCATGAAGGGGAACAACCGGCACACGTATCGCCGAGTGTGAAGGAACACGTTCCGCCTTACTCGCCTCCTGTCACCTACGTGTCATTTTCATTGCAGCCGACTGCGCCTCCAGCCGTTGCGGCTGCGAACGCTGCCTCTTATCAGGAGCCTCTCGTTCAATACCAATCTGCCCTAGTACCGCCTCCTACACCTGCATCTAGTTCTCACCATTTAATAACAAAAGCGTATTATTCACATGACTTAAATCCTCAAGGACAGGGTGAAGACGACCCGCAAAATGTTGTTGAAAGTCAAAATTATTATCATCCTCAAACTGATGGTCCTTACATCGAGTCTCAATCTCAAGATGTTCATCATTATTACAACCAAAGGACACCTCTCCGTGTGAATAGCAATTCCGAGTTACCCCATCCAAGTCCGCTTCTCTTAAAACCTCCACCATCACACCTGTCCCACATTCCGAAAGCTTTGCCGATACATCGTCCCTGGAGTAAGCCTGTCTATAATAGTGGACGACTTGGAATAGGTAGCATTGCTCCCAAGGCCATTGAAACATATGGCCCTATGTTTAAAAGAAGACCGACATCTTTACTTGATTCCTATGTCCCATCGAGTCTCCAAATTGAATACTTAAAGAGAGGTATTATAAAAGATCCATTGGTGGCGTACGAGGCGTTATCAAATGGTTTCAATTTAGATCATTTGGAGCCAAATCCTAGATATTACGAAACTGGTTTCTTGCCGAATCAAGTATTCCATACGGCTGGAGGAGGTTCATTTTATGGACATTATAAGAGATCACCAAAAGACAAAAGATCAGGAAGTTAGTTTCTTACTATCAAATGTGATCAAGTCATAACAATTGAATAAATTTTATTTACTCTATTTAAAGTCTGAAATACATTCTAATGTAGGATATCAAAAATGTTAACTTAGCATCTGGACATGATTGAACGATAGAATTGCTTTAATTTAAGTTAAGGTTATGTACATAATAATAGGAAAAGAGTTTTATTGGAGTACAAATTAAATGTACGATCCTTTAAGGCTTATTGTTATTCTATGTTAGTATTAGATAAAAATGTAATTGTATGTTAATCGTTAAAAATAAAAATATTTTAAATATTAAAGTGTTTTTAATTTTCAAAGTTATAAAAGGTTTTAGAAGCCCTCAAAGGCTTACTATAATGTTCTGTCTTATAGCAGGAAGATATTGCTTAGTGGATTTTGATGGGCGGTGGCATCATCATTCCTTGTGTCCATTATCAATTGTTACGACCATGGGAACGGATTTATAATGGCACTTTCATCTTTGCTGCAGTTGCGGAGAAACCACAAACACTACCTGCTTGTGGTTTCCTACTCTATAACACATTTAAAAATAAAACTATAGTCATAAACTTGAATATTCTTATGCCTTAATACACATTGATCCTTCTTGCAACAAAATTTGGATCGGAAAATAAAAAAATGCTTAATAATTGTGGTACGGCATAAAAAGTGTAGTAAGCTTTTAATTCAGGAATATTTTAATTATACGACAGAAGATTTAAGAATTTAACAAGTGAACTTCTAGTAATTCATCAATTTAAAGTTGTACGAGCTTTGCGTCTTATATTAAGCGCTTACGATTCAGCAAAAGCGTGTCAATATTAGAAATTAATATATAATCTAAAAAAAATATATTCCTAAAAGCGACAGGATTTATAAAAAATTGTATTTATAAATGGGAAACGAGTAATCAATTTGTATATCCTTGCATTGGTGTCAAAAATCACTCTGAAAGTAATATTACAAAAGGAGTAACATTATTTAACAAATCTAACTAATTCTTAGACACATTTGAAAACAAATGTTAACACTTTCTCTTTGGCTAACGTGGCCGGAGTAACTTGCATATTTATTTCATCGAAATAAGCTGTTTTGAACACAATTTTTCGGTAAGGTTTGAAAAGCGCCATCTAGCGATAACTTCCCAATTTGTTAAGAGAAAATTAACGTAAATACTCAACTACAGTGAATCGTAGATGGTCGAAAAATAGATGGCAGGGGAATATTTTAGGTACCTAACTGATGTGTAAGTGTAAAGTTACATAAATCAAACCCTTGTCACCTTGTTCTAAATAATAGAGACTTTATAATGAGAAATTAGTGAAAATCAGAACAAATTGTCATTTTTTAGAACATACAAAAATATACAAAGTTCGATTTGTAAGATCGCCCAAAAGTAGTAGAAGATGGCGTCTACACAGAAAATTATCGAAGGAAGTTGTTAGAGATTGGACAATGATAGTAATAATGAGACCTGATACTAGATGGCGCTTTTGCTAAAGTAAAACACAAAAAAAAATTATGTGAATTCGATCCTGGCAAATAACATAAACTAGAAAAGCTAAGAAGAGTCAGTAAAATAGACAAAGAAAACTATTTTTTAGTAATGTACAATATTTTTACCAAGTCAGTACACGCGCTTTACAATATTTTGACATGGCAATAATGTTTTTGTTTGAATATTGCGACAGTGGAAACACAACGATGTCGTTCTAGCCAGATAGTAATGTGCCATAACTACCCATACTACATTTTATACTACGCTAGATTTTCCACGCACGAATATGTAATTTAAGATGTGTACACTATACTACGCATTGCTAATTTATAAGCCACCATGAATAAGGCCTTTCGACTGTGTACAGTCACCGTTACAATATGTTCTGAATAAATCTAGCTATAAGGGCAGCTATACACGGACCGCTTTAAGCAATCGACAGGGATAGCCTTATGCAGAACAGTGTTAAGTAAACAGTAGTTATTTGAAAAACGGGGACTAATTTAATTTGGAATTTATTGATTGTGAATTTAAGGTTTTACCTAAGTCATTTCTTTTTGCAATTTCGATCTAGACCAAAATACACTGTATACGTTTGCTTTTCATAAGTTGAAAAAGTACATAAATAATTATAATTTATTAAATTAAATACAATAGTTTAAATTTTAAACGCTTCGTGGAGCTAAACTAATTGCGTAAAATTATAATATTTACTGTATTTATGCAATTTGACCTGCAGATTTAAGATAAGAATATTACTACTCTCATTTATTACTCAATATTGTTTTAGCTAAGTTGAATATAATGTTGCTAATTCTAAGACCGTGAAATACAGTTGCTACAGTTATGGTCACACGTTACTTCCATTACAATAGAAAATTAAAAAATTATAATGCTTCATTTCATCAAATGTTTACCTTCAAAGTCGAAGGTGTTTTGTTTCAAAACAAATAGAAACAAAAAGGTTCCGAAATCGCATTGAGTGTAAATGTAGTTGATATGCATTAGGGTGGTAATATTTTAGATTAGTTTTTACTGTAAAAAAAAGTAATAGACAAGTCAATTAAAATGAATCAGATTTAAACAATGATTACTACTGATTTATATTGAAATAATTAGAACACTTACAGATGTTACACCAGGTTTTTTTGTTAGACCATCTGTCGCCCGTGGCTCCGTCCGCGCGGAATAAAAAAAACACATAGTAGACTATGTGTTCTTCCAGACAATGTTCTTCATGTATCCCAAATTTCATGAAGATCCGTTCAGTCGTTCTGGAGATACATTCAAACACATCCATCTATCCATTCATCTAAACATTCGCATTTATAATATTAGTCAGAAGTAAGATAAAGTCTTACTTTAAGATGAAAAAGGAATAGCAAGTACCATAAACCCTATGACTGTGACTTATATCTAATAAAATGAAATTATTAGGTGTATTCCGTGAGGTTATGATTTATCCTAGCAAGTAAGCTTACTCAACAGCTTTGCTTATTTACAAATATGTGCATAAGAAATTACAGTCCTCATTAATTTTATGAATAAATCACTAAACCAGAAGCGTAAGCCAGTGCAATATTATTACGTATTTATTTTGACACTTTTAAATATGCATAAAATTAGCAATTATAGATACACAAACTTATCTGACCTGGTGAGCACAATTCACATTAAATTATAATCGCTCATTAGCGTCCTCTGGCAATGTCCTAAAAAATACAAAATCATGACTGTCTTGGTTTGCTTTTGTCTTGTATGTTAAGTTCTATGCCTAAGCAGTATTAGACATATTTTCTGACAGACTTAACGATGGCAGATACCTCTCTCACCGGGTCAGGTGAGTTTTCCGGACTGTACGATATTAGTTTCGTTATGTGACAAGTATAAATGTTGTCCAATTATATCGTATGAAATAAAAGCGCTAAGAAAGTTTATAATATCATTGAAACAAATGAGCAATTTTTCTAAAACTCGTGTTATATAAGACATTTTGTCGTGTGACAATTTAGTGAGATCGTTCAAACACACGAGATCATAAATAGCGCAATTAAAATGCGTCTTCGGTTATTACACCCGAATTCATGCATGCAAAGGAGTACACAGATGCCGCCATCAGTGAGAAAAAGTGAAAACGCAGACTGACGACGCTCCGCTCGCTAGACGAGGCGTGCGTCATCCTGACACTGACGTGATTCTACGAGTATTGTTTTATTCACACAACAAAACAAATTCGCTAAATATTTTTACAAACTTTTTATTGGTTTATTTAAAGTATTTTTGTAAGTTTTGAAACGGCAAATTAGTTAAGTATTAAGTAAATATATTTTAATAAGTGTTAAAAAATTATAAGACACCGATATAGAGAACATTCTTAGTCTCTACTGTTAATGAATTTCAGTTTATTTCGAATCATTTCATAAGAAATGATTAATTACTTATTTAGCACAAAAGTCTTTTGTTTCTATCTCATTATCTCTATCTAACTAGCGGTAATAGTTGCATATAAAATAAAGAAAAAAAATTGTACACTTTGATTGAAACGGATCCGTCAAAAGTCGGTCTTTAAGCCAAACAATTCTAATGTCTTACAAACATTACTTCCTAATATTTTAACTGTTATCTAACATATGTTTATAAATATTAGAAGTCAGACGATTTGTAACTATTGCTGTGACATGAATAATTAGTCACGATGACATCGAATGGTAGCGAGGATCAGATTACAGATTTACAGATTTTTACTATAGAGAGAAATGGTATGAAGCTAAATATACAATTTTACACCTTTAAATAGAATTTTGAAGTAATATAGGCGAAAATACTATAGGCGCATTTTTTGAAAAATTCCATTGTAACGCTGACAAAGAACCTTAACTCGCTTTAATTTCCATCCAAGTTGTCAAAAAATATTTAAATTCATTGATTAATAATTTATGTAAATATTGGTCATTTTATTAAAAGCTTTGATACACTTGTCTAAATATTATAGTCGTAATAAAGTGATTTCATATAACATTTTGCTCACGTAACAATTAATTTCTGTCATGTTGAAGTCTTTACCAAAGTTTACCGTTGTATTATAAACAAGCCATATAGACATTCCTTAGCATTCACAACTTGTTTGAAATTATTTGATAATAAAAGTCAGTCCAATTAAAACATTGAAAAGTCAGTTAAATGTCGAATTTGGTAATAAAATTTGTTAAAATGGCTTAACATTTCTTTTTCACCGTAGAATTTCACTATGGTGATACTTGTACTGCCATCCCTTTCATTTTATTTGGAAAATTAGAGACTTCAATATCCATAGTACAAGGCACGGCTGTAGAATTCTACGGTCTACAGCAATGGTAACCATCAATAATTTAATTTATGGTAAAATGGAAAGTACCATTCTTTACAAAAAAATGTAAAAAATACGAAAAAAAAATTACATTTTAACAAATTCATGTAACAATGATTAAGCATCATCAAATGTTAGAGTCATCGTTTTCACTTTTGTTTCCATTTATAGATAAAGCACTATTATGTAGATGTACAGTAAAATGAGAGCGTGATTTGTAATCGTATTTTAAGGTTAAACTATGCAAAATCTTAACAAATAACCAACAATGCTATTCAGCTATTTTATTGAATAGAAAATTATCGTGAGTGACTGCTATATAAATATTGAAAGTATGCAAAATTTATTGATATGAATTAACACGCTACTTTGTCATCTGATCGTATAAGTAAGTCGTCTAGACATAAGCTTTTTGTATAGTTTATATAACCTTTACAACCTTAACCTTTTCGTTGCTAATTAAATTTATATTTTTGATTACAATTTTTTTTATTCTTAACGTTATGCTTACTTTCGTATAAAAATAAGCATTTCGAATTGGAAATATTTGTAAAGTGTTTTGTCTAGACCGTAATATTATCCAAAACATGACTTAGAATTATAAGAAATTTTATAAATGCGAATGATTAGATGTATCAATGGTTGTCCGTTAGAAGGAATCACTGGAACAGCTCAACAGATCTTGATGAAATTTTGCATATATATAGAACATAGTCTGGAAAACACATAGGTTTACGTTTTTAGTTTTTTATTTAATTTCTCAATGACGGGGTCGCGGGCGATAGCTAGTTAAATATATATGTAATATTTGGTTTCATAATTTTTTTAGTGATGACTGATCTAAAATAAATAAATAAAACTATGTATTAGTGTCGACATGCACGTAAAAAGTTGCACTTCGCTAAATCTCGCATTTGTGTTGCAATGTAAACATTTATGTATTTAACCTTAATTTGCTAATAGCAAATTTATTACGATTTTCTGTGAATTTAAACATTTATAATGTTCATTATATTCGACCACTCTTTGTTATAATGTATCCTTACTTATTCCTCAGGTTAGAGACGTTTGTAAAAGCCCCTTAAGCTTTATAATCATTGTTCTAAATTCGACAATAACTGAAAATAGCTTAATGCACTTATTTTCCATAATAACTTTAACAGAGTAAAATTTCAGTTTTTTTCAGCAATTTCCTCAGAAAGGTATTTACGCTTTACATATTAAAATAATGATTTAGGCAGTTTCGAATGCCTAAAACCCTATAAATTTCGACTAACCGTGACATTAAAATAAAATTTATGAGGACAAATAAACAAAAAGTCATCATTTCGTGACGATATTAGAGCACACTAACACTTTCGTAAGTGGAATGTTTTGCTCAGTTGTATGCATAGTTTAAGTGGCCCATCTGCTTGTATTACGTAATAACGCGTTATAAAAGATATCATTACAGTCCATAAGAAGCTGTTTGTATGTTAATCATTGTTACAGCACTTAATGCATTACGATGTAATTGCATTGATGCATATCTAACACATCAACATTGTATATAATTTTTCAGTTACATCAACAACTATCAATTATTCTAGGACGTTATATAGTTAATTTTGACAGGTATTAAACTGTTAAGACGAGTAATGTCTTTTTAGACTGTTGTACATTTGATTTATTAATTATCACACTTGAAGTTTCAATGGCTATTGAGTTTACTATCATTCAGTTACTACTGACTTCAGTCGGATCGGATACGAATCTTAAATATTAGTTAAAATAAAAGGTTTTTTGATGATACTTATTAGAAAATCATTTTTGCTGTATACATATATTACTTGCTGTTGACTGCACATGATAAAAAAACTTAATTAGTAGCCTTTGTGTTCCAACAAACTATGTTCTACATGTATGCCAAATTACAGAGAGATATGTTGAGCCATTTTGGGGATACCTTTAACAAACATCCATCCATTTATACAAACATTGGCATTTATAATATTAGTAAAAAAGTATCGTTCCATAAGCCTTGATTGTCAATTTCGACACGAGACTTGCAATGTAATGATCACTCAAAACTTTTGATGCTATTCATTCATAAATAGACTATCCGAATGTAATTAGGAATACACATTAGCTTTTTACCTTACTTGGATATTTCTGATGTTAGCGGAATACAAGAAATACTAGCTAGATTCGTTTTTACTTTCTAAACGTATAATTTGTTATATAGTTGCAATGCTTAGCATTATTACGATTTAGAATTATTTTATAATATTAATATGTTACGAGAAGAAATACATTTTAATGAAAGGCGGAACTATACTAATTAACAAATAGAAAATAACAAAATTATGAAAAAGAATTAATCAATAACAGTAACGCTAAAATCAATATAGTTATTACATTTTTTTATAAGTAAATTGATTAGAACAATTGTGTCGACATTAAAACGAAGCTTTTTAAAATTTGATGGTTAAAAGTTAAATATGCAGAGTTAAAGTTGTAAAAGCATTTTTTATCAATTTTAGATTTGCACACAGTATATGCTTGCAAATTACAACGCGTAAAAGTGTATAATTGAAAAAACATATCCATTGTTCATACAGAGAAAGTAATATATGAATAAACTAGTAGAAACTCAGCCTTTTAATTAAATAAGGTTCACGATTGCACAACGTTAATTTTGTTACAAGAAAATGTTTCTTTTCTCTATAACATGATCACCATGCGAGCGGCTCTCAAAACAACGGTGGGTTCCCGTCATTGTTACTGAATATACATTACGTGCAACAAACAGCGGTACATTTACGTGATGTAGATTGAAGCGATGGACTGACGAATTATATTCGATACGTTTGCATGTTTTGTCAACATTTCAAGACATTGAAAGAGACACTGTCTGAAAAAAGCTACATGTTTAACTAAAAGAAGACGCGAGAGAGGTGTGACAACCGCGCCATATGGGGGTCTATAATCTCTGCCTACTCCTCTGGGCGACGTTTTTGTTATGTGTTAAAATAAATGTCAATGTTTAGGTTTATGTAGACTTCATATAAACATTGGAAAAAGCATAGTTAGCAAATAGTTGGCATGAGTCTACTTATATGTAAATAAATTGAAAGCGCCACTGTCTATTTATGATTGATTCGCTAAACACAGGTGCAAATATTTTTGTAGCGCAGTTGAGTGCTTCAAATCACCTCCTCTTAAAATCACTTTTTGATATCATAGTGATAATTAATACGCAAAATAAATAAAAGCACTGCAGCTTTAGCATTGTGTATTTTTGATCAAATAAGTATTTTATTTATTCGTAATTTTTTCTTCTGTTAAGAAGTTAGAAGCTATTGGACTAAGTAAGTAAATAAGTAAATGATCATAGCTTGCTTTATGATCTCAAAATAGATAAAAATAATGAATTTAAAATATTTTAATAGCATTTTGGTAATTTTTGAAATTTTTATAAAAACTCCTGAATTATACTACAACAATAACAGTGCGCATTAAAGTTCAGCGTATGTATTATATCAATGTTTGTAGTGTGTGAGTGGTTTCGGACTGGCGGAGGCTCGCGGCGCATCTTACGAGAATGTTTCCGAGGTATAAAAGAAGGTAACATAATGTTTCGCGGACCCATTGCTCTACACACGCAGCGGAACACCGAAACACACCAGGTAACAGTGACGTGCGTTTGTGAATGATAGTGTTGTGATATAGTGATGTGATAACTTATTGAGATCTGTTTTCTTTTGACAGATAGCCGCAGTGACACGAACGAGAACGACAAAATGCGGTGGTTTATATTGGTAAATATTAACATTAATATATTTAAGTCCAACTTCAATGCAGAATTAAGCATAAACTAAGTAAATGTTTTTCTTGACATTTTTATTTAGTTCCTAGTATTTAAATAGTAAAATCGAATTTACAATAGGTTATCTTGGTCTTAATGAATAAAGTGGGAATGAAAAGATTATGATAATTTGTAACTGTAATCTGTGCTTACCCAATATCAACTAATTGTTCATTTAACGCTGGTAAGAATACTTACAAGTAAGCAATCAAGTTGTGAGTATTTTTACTAGCTTTTAATGAAGGTCCATAGTCCCTGCTTACCCCTCTAGGTTACGGGAGTGAGTTATGTTCTTGTTCCAACTACTGAAGATAGAATAGTTTGTGAATTAAATTTCTTTGTCACTGTTTGAACATTCTTGAAAGGTGAAGGTCGAATATAGGGTCAAAATAATTACTCGTCGAAGTTCATACATACGTCACATGGTTTGACATCATTTTATTTGAAATTCGGGTGACTTTAAACATAAATAGCTATCATAAATAATCATAAAAATGATAAAAGAATAATAGTTGAAATGGCAACTGTTCGAGCCATATCGTCGTTTGTCAATGACTACTAACTACCGATGTAAGATGTATAAAGGAGTTTTAATAGAATTTAGCTTTTTATTTTACATACAACGATTTGAAAAAAGTTTTATATCTAGAATTCCAATCAGATAAAAGAAATTCGATCGTAAAAGTTTGTTTTATGCCGAATCTAATTAAAACTACCGGTGACAAAACCGGTAAAACTTGTTAAATACTTTCCAATGTGATTAAAGTTTAAAAAACGTGACATAATCGTACTTGACTATATAACATGTAGATGTAGAGAAATATATCAAAAATAAAATAATAAAAAAATATAGATCATGAACTTTCGTACAAACACATCTCTCTTTAGGCACTCCTTAAAATTCAATGTCAATGACATATTGTTAGCACGTGAGCCACCGGATGCGATCAGTTTTGAAATTATTAAAAAACAATTTGTTGATGGAGAAATTTTACTACTAAAATGTGAATGTTATTCTAATAAACATTTAAATTGAATATTTAAACATGATATAAAAATTAATTAGTATTTATTTCATTATGTCAATTAAAAAGAAAAAAAGTTGCAATAAAAATTACAATAAACGAAATTATACACTTTTCGTCATTATGAATACTATTAGTATAGTTATTAACAAATGTAATTTTCCCGTACAAAAGACATAAACGCGTGCTTAACTTAATGTGTAAGATTAAACGCGTTGATGTCTTTTGTTGCAATAACATAAATTTTCATGTTTGACAATTATTATTTCTTATGTAACCTATGGTAGGAAACATATATAGTTGTTTATATAGGGGCTTATGTTTCATGTCTTAATAAACTTTCTATTGTGTTTACCAATAAAACAGGAATAAACAAACAGTTGACAATCATAGTATGTAATCATTTATACATTATCATGAGACCTATCACAAAGTAAACTTCCATAGACAATAAATATCCACTGTAAAGAGTTATTTTATGACTTTCTTTTTGTTATGTTGTATATTTAAATGATTTTTCTTACAGAAGTTTTAATGACTGTTTATTATTACACAGCTAGTAACTATATAATGCTATAGAGTTTTTGCGATCTGACCTATTGCAATCACTAAAGCAAAATTATCGTCGAGTCTTTTTAGCGAACTTCAAAAGCGTAATAATGTCAGCTACAAAAACGTAACCTTTACTTCAATTTTTTTTATTTATGAGTCTTAGGCACTTTAGAAGTCCAAAATATTGAGCTAATTACTGTAATACCGCATACTTGTAACTTTAGCGTAAATTTCCTTCACTTCATTAATTATTTATGAGCAAGTAATGAATTACGCGGCATGCTGTAAGTTTACTTAATTTAGCATAAAATTAAAATAATTTACATTATGCCATTCACTCACTTCGTAATTATTCATATTTGCAATTTGCACCTCCTAGTTTTAGTGTGACATAATGATTTACAGCTCCGAAGTTTAGTTAACCTTTATATACATACTTCACTAAATAAAACACTTATCTAGGTAAAATAGATGTTGCAAAATTAAACTTATTCAATAAAATCCAATTTAAAAATTAGCCTGATAGATTAGGCTCATAATATATAAAAACCTAATTGAACTGGGATTGAAGAATCTCATTTTTAAATTCAACTTTATTAATGCGACACAACATGCATGTCTGCTTTGTAAGTAAATAAAGTAATTCAAACGACATTTGTAAATAACAAAATCATGCATCACCGCAATAGAAAAATGTATTCATTAAAATATAATTGCGTTCTTAAAAAATCGTGCTTCAGATGTTTTTCTAGTGCGTTAACAAGAACAAAAACAAGTGCGTTAGTCAATATTTCTTTTGCAATCGTATTTTTTGACAGTTGTTGTAATTGCATATCAGTGGTCAGTAATGATAGCCCTCTGCAATATCTCGTTACATAATAAAACGTTGATGTTGTAGTACAGTCTTAAATTGACATTTGAATGTGAAATAAAGATGTAATCTTCACCTAGTTATATGAATATGCTTAAGAGTACAGCGGAATAATTTATACACTTTTTAAAATACTAGGTGTCGCCCACGACTCCATCCGCTCAGAATAAAAAAAAATATATATTGATAGCCTATTTGTTTTTCCAGATTATGATTCTCCATCTGTGCTAAATTTCATCAAGATCCATTGAGCCGTTCCTTAACCTTCTCTAACAAACATCTACCCAAAATTTCGCATTTATAATATTAGTAAGATAAGTTATAATAGATCGCGGGCTTTTTACCGCATGTAATCAATTAACTTAAAATAATTCTAAATATAAAGTAATAAAAAAATAAACACTCTAATTGAATGGAAACAAGAATCGAATCCTGCATGTAATTTTGCTAACGGAATTTCATGTAAATAGGCATCACCCGGAAATGTGTGCTATAAATTATATTATACAAATGTCACCATATTATGCACAAAGTATTGCAGCTCCAAAGATGTGGAGTTTAAATTAAATGTGAATATATATTAAACAATTCGCTGATGAAATTTGACCTTTAATTGTTATTTTTAATTTACTACTAGTTAGTAGTACTAACTGCAATTAAATTTTTAAAATGAATTCTATGGGTATTGGTTTAAAGTTTATGTTCATACTTTACTCGTATTAATTTATACATCATTTAAATAATTAAATTGTATTTTATCCTATAAATTACGTACAGGAAACGTCGGTCTGATGTCGCAATTCCCGCTTGGACTCGAGTCCGATGCACTTTCTATTTTATTCTACGTCGATTTAATCCGTTAATGCTCACTTTCATCTCGCATTACTCCGACGCGCACGTAATGGTCAACTTCGTAAGTCTCCGCACATGTTTCTAAGATTTATTAACTTTTAAAGTGTATTTTACTACAGCTGTATTTTCTAGATAAAAAATACTATCGTGTGAAAATTATGTGATCACAATTGTGTCACTCTCTAATGTTAAATTCTCTTACATCTAGTTTTGAAAAGGAGTAAAAAACACACAAAAGGACTTTATGATACCAAATAAAAAAAAAATTTTTTGTTTGAATTCATCAATAGTTTCAAAACGCTAATTTATATATGAAAAATACATATTTAGTGCTCGTATCTAAAAATTTTATTGTGCCTTAAATACAAACCGAAAATACTAATTTGAAAACAACATAAAAGTTCCAACTCTGAAGTAAGCATTTTCACTGAGTTAATTTGTTATGTATGAAAATTGGTTCATTAAAGTTTTAAAAAATGTAATCAATCATTATAATTATATTTTAGCAGACGGCTACAAAGACAAACAGACATACAAGATCAGTCTTTGATTATAAAACTATCAATCATAATTAATCAATTAATATTATCGTCGTTCACTATAACAGCAATACTGAGGTTGACTTTAATTTATTTTACTACTTGTTTATATTATATATTCATTAATATGATTAAGCAAATTAAATTTCTCTTTCACATATTGTGTTATTTCAGATTAATAATATAATTTTTTTTATGGGTATTCTAGTTTAATTTGACAAAAACTCATAAAGAAGCTTATCAAGACTAGAAAGAAACAACAAATAAGGCTTATTATTTTAATATGCAAATAAATAAAATGTAACAGTAAAAGTAAGCAATGACTCGTCGATATTAAAATTGATTTCGTTTGTAAAATATATGCAATATAATATTTTATTAATACTTGAATTTTACTCGATAATTTACATCCGTGATCATTAAATAATCATAAATCTTACTAATATTATAAATGCGAATGTTAGGATGGATGGAGGGATCGATGTTTGTTTGAAGGTATCTCTAGAACAGCTAAACAGATACCGCTGAAATTTGGCATAAGTGTAGAACAAAGTCTGGAAGAACACATGGGCTACTATTATTTTTTTTTACTTCCGCGCGGACGGAGTCACGGGCGACGGCTAGTATTCAATAAATAACTGCCACTTGTGTATGGAGAGTTATGCGTAATACTGCCGGCTCCTGCATGTTTATTAGACAACACATAGCTTTAATAGTGAGCATCATACAGGTCATTGAAAGTAACGGAAGAGGGAAATATAGTTTTCACTTTCAAGCAAAATGCTTAAATAGCATTTACTGTTGGTTTCATAAGGTCATATACATAGGAGACGGAGTTTACATAAACATAACATAAAATCTCTGGGAATCGCGATCTTGGCAAATAAAGAACAAATTACTTATACCGGAAGCAGTGGTGACCAACTTTCAGGGCAAAATATACTAATTTATAACCTTCGCCGGTCAAAGGGTTAAAACAGGCGTTTAAAGAGTCAATCTGCATTTTTATGGAGTATTTATTTCTATATTTACCGAAACTATGTCTTGGATTTTATTCAGAGTTAGAGGTAATAGTATAATACTTATATAACAAAATTGTACTCTAAGATAATGTACACATTCAAATCGTGACTTACAAAGATAGGCAATAAATATCCGATTATACCGTACGTGCTGTTTTATTTATGTTAGATATTTTAGTTTAGCATTATTTATGATTTTTATATTAATTGTTTAGTTGTTATAAAAGTGAATACAGTTTTCACTTATTATAATAGTTTTATCTTACGTAATTACAAGAAAAACTACATAAACGGTTCCGTTAATAAACATACAATATTTATATAATAAAATTTATGCAATGGTAGATAATATCTCCTTATTCAATGATTAGATGCAAAAACGAATAAACATGTGAACAGGAAATGTAACCTGAAGATATCTTAGAAATATAATGAATCAGTTTAGAGATACGAATAAGTTCGTGTATTTAACAGTTGTAATTAATTTAATTTCAGATATTGGTGTGTGCTGTATTAACAAGAGTGACTTCGGAACCGGACCCGAAAAAATATAAACCCGAAGATGCAGATAAAGATAAAAAATCGAGCGCAACTTTAACTAACGATGAGAAGAAATTTTTAAGAGAAGTCGAAGAAAAGTTCGGTATAAAACCTCAGGTTCCTGTTGAAATATCAAATACAACAGACGACAAATCAACGTCAGCAAATATAACAGAAAAAACTCCATTACCTGCTGTTATTGCAATTGAAATTGTTAACGATACAAACTCCTCGTCTAAAGGAAAGAGAACCATTGATGCAAACCTTGGTTATGGCTATCGTACCAACGAAGGGTACACGTATACTTATTTTGGAAAACCAAAGCAAGAAGAAGGTAAATTTATGATTTACCCTTACTCGCAACAAGATTCGTCTGAAGAGTACAATGGACATAGTGCTGAATATTCACAACAATCTTCAGGACAACAATCTCACGCAACCAGTGTAGAAATTCAACCATCACGGGCATTCGAACTAGTGTCGGTAAAAGATGAACATTACAATAATGATAATTCAAAGTCTGTGGAATCCTCACCGGCATACCATGAAAAAGAAACGACTACATTCCCATCGACTCTGTACACCACATATAATGGCGAAGGTCTGTCTGGTTTAAGTGGCCACTTCCCAAGATTAATGTCAAACTACTTCGTTAATCCCAAGCAACTTTTGAACAACCCTCATTATCAAAGTATCGGCTTAAATCAGGATCATTTAAGTACAAATGGTTTAGATCAAAACAAACCTGTTGTACCAGTTTTAGTGCTAAGAATACCAAGTTCGTATATAAAAAATCCTACTGCAGAATTGTATGCAAATTTGCCCAGTAATTACCCTCTCTCACACTATTTAAACAATGTCAATTTACAAGATTTGGTAAACCAATATTTTAAGAAAAACGGTTATGACTCTGCACCTCAAGTAATGGCGTATCAAAATCCCCAACTTTCAACTTCCATCACACCAACAGTATCATCTACATATAGTGCTGAGCCACAACAATATTCAAATCCTCACGTGCAACCATCGTATACTCAATCTGATTATTCCGGTGTGCAATATTCTGGAGTAAAACCTGTCATGGCCAAATATCCCTCAACCTTTGGTAGACCCAAATATTATAGTTCCCGAATTCAATCTCAGTACAGAAGACCTGTTCAGCAACCCAAATATGAGTACCGATATCAATATGTACCCCAAACACCAGGCCATACACAAGCTTACTATGGACAATCCCTTCAAAAGGATCCTCAGGTATCAACGGTGGCTACATATGAACAACAGAGTGATCTCGCCGCTTTAGCCACGCCATCTGCCGATACAATCAGTAATACTGGTCATGGATCTTCTCAATATTCATCAAACTATGATGGCAAAGTCATTTCAGTTCAATTTGATAGTAATACACCGTCGCACTCTTCACAGCATGCAGACAATTCCAACATCGAAACACCGCAATACGATTACTCTAAGGAAAGTCAAGAAGCGTACAGTCCTCAACAAGCCCAGGACTATTCTGGTCAATCTATATCAGACTATACATCTTCTCAACTCGGAGGATATTACGCGCAAAAGCAGATAGAATCTACAGAAACAGTAAACGCATATCCATCACATACCCAAAACACAGAGCAAGAACAGCAAACCTACTCAGAGGTTAGTGCTACCCAAGGTTACGATTATCCAAAACCTAGAGAAGAATCAGTTGGTAATTCATATGTAGTCCCCGAAACGTATTCAAATAAAGACCACACTATCGCTACAGTTCTACCCTTCACCTACAAACAACCTAAAAGACCGAACACTGCGACTGTCCAAACAGTCAGTTATGTTACTCCTGAGCCATCATCTAAATATCAATCCCGTTATAGAATAATGGTGCCACAAACTATACTGAAAAGTCAAGATGAGAAAGTTACTTACGTTAATTCAATGCCAATGCATTACACTAAAGTAGGATATTACAATCAAGATTATAATTCTGAGGAAAATACAAAATATAGCGTTGGAAATTATTACAGTGCTCCAACAAATAAACATAAAACTGGATCATATACTAGGAACTATCAAAATTATCTTAAACGTATGGCAAGGCCTGATAGTAAAGCTGAAGGGTCATCGAACTCCTCACGATCCAAGAAATCAAATGATAAGAAAAAATCATCATAATAAAATAGAAATTATTAATTTTATTATAAGATTCTTTGTATATACGAGTCAAAGTTACTAATGCAAGTTTTGTATTGTTATTTGTAGTTTAATTAATGTCGTCTGATGTATATTAAGAAGAATTCAAAATGTATTTTTGTTAAAGAAAATTTATAGAAATACGTCTAAACGATTGTTGTATTCTAATAAAAAAAACAGCATTATTTATTTCTTAGGCTACATAATTGTATGTGGCCGTTAATGTGCAATAATTAATGATAAGAACGAAAATTGTAAGAGTTTAAATAAATTGTTTAAATAAATGTGTCTTTATTTAATTATAAAATCCCAAGAAATTGTTCAGAAATACATATTTTCGTGCTTGAATTGTTTGGGAATTGCTATTTATTTTATTTATTGAGTTCCGCAATATTTTCTAGGACAAATCTCTTTTTAAATTAGTAATGGCTTAAAACGTCTGTATTAGTTACAAAATTATTGATTCTAAATGAAAATTGAAGATGTTTAGAAATATTGTTTAAGGAATCTATATAATAATATTTCTATATTGTTAGACTTTTATGAAAGAAAACAACACAAATTTTCACAGCCTAAAGTAAATATAACTCCTCCTCCGCAGGCCGTAACGCATTGTTGCGGCGCGTGCTTGCCGGGCCTACCGTACGGTAGGCCACGCGGCGGCCTGCGTTTTGGCCGGCACCCCGCCTTGGGAAATAGAGGCGGGAGTGCTGGCTGAAGCCTACTGGGCGCGGGCGGAACAAAGAGCCCGGGGCGAAGTAACGGCCCCGGAGGAGCTCTCCCGTGCCCGGGAGGCGAGGAGGAGGACGACCGTGGAGCTCTGGGCGAGTGGCCTAATGCACGCCGAATATGGCGTGCGAACCATAGAGGCCATTCGCCCACAGCTCCCGGAATGGTGTGGGAGGAGCCACGGGTCCCTCACCTTCCGTCTGACACAGGTGCTGTCCGGACACGGCTGTTTCGGGCGGTACGTGTGGAGGATTGGAAGGGAGGAGACGGCGCTGTGCCATGGGTGCGGCGACCCGGAGGATACGGCGCAGCACACGCTGGAAGTGTGCTGCGCCTGGTCAGAAGAGCGCCGCACCCTGGTGGCGGCGATCGGCGACGACCTCTCACTTCCCGGCGTTATACGCGCCATGCTAGGAAGTGAGAGGTCCTGGGACGCCGTTGCCTCCTTCTGCGAAGAGGTGATTTCGCAGAAGGAGGCACAGGAGCGGGAGCGCGAGGGAGACCCCCTGGCGCCCCCGCTCAGACGCAGGAGAGTGGGGCGGAGAAGGCGGCAATATGCCGCCGCCTTCTCCTTCCCACAATAGCCCTCGGGTAATGGATGCGGGGGAGT